CAGGGGAAACCTCCCAGCCACTGAAATATCCCTCTGGAACCCCAGCTGATGCCCGTGGGAGCCCAGCCAGCCCTCTCAGACTTCCTCCACACTTCCTACCAGTCTCGTTGTGATGATGTGGTTTCTTCTGTCTGTCTGTGGTTGTAAGGTTTCTCTCCAGGCAGTGTTCAGTTGGTTATTTAGGATGATTTTTCTACAATTTAGTTGTAATTCCAGGCTGTTCTTGGGTGGAGGTTAGTGTAGCTTCCACTTACTCTTCTGCCATCTTGGATCTCATGACTTGTTTTAAATGCCTGAAAAGCAAAGAAACCCATCTCTTTTCTTCCTGCAGTTTCTATGTATAAGCCTTTGAGGAATGATTAATCAGAAGTATCGTAGACTGTGTTGGCAACTAGCACCTTTTTGTTAGTGATAATTCTGAAGATTTTGATGACACTTGGTTACAAGTGAGTACTTTTTTCCTGAAAAAAAAAAAAACAAAAACAAAGTAGGACAATTAAATACAGTCTATTTCCCAGTGAATCACATAATAATACATAGATCAGATCAGCCAGTATGAAGTTACTGAGAAAAGCATGATCACTGTTTTCTATTAGTTGTCATCATTTATTAATGTACTTTTTGTCGAGATCATGGAGGGTTTTCATTCTTCATGACTTAAAAAGAGAATAGGCATTGAAGCTGCCTTCTCAACCCCTGGCATTTGGTTCCCCCTCTCCCTTCAGATGATTCTGCCAGTGCTTGAATGAGACTAGTTAAAAGGGCACTTTGGGGTCCTTTCAACACCTTCCCAGCAAGTGACCTCACACAGATGACCCATGGGTCCTGGGCTCCCATGGGAGGGCCAGGATGCAGAAGATCAGTTGACAGATATACATTGTGCTCTATGCAGTCCATGGTGCTTGTCACCACATTTGGGGGAACTAGTTAAGACACATTTCCTGCTTTCTAGGAGCTCATAATTTTATATGGAAAAGTGGTAAGACAGTTGGATAATCAACCAAAATGCATAAAGCAATAGTAAAGTAGATTAAGGAGGGAAGTTAATTTGGAGTTGTGCCAGGTAGAGAATGTGCTGAGAACGGATGGTGGAGGTGCTGTGCCTTTAAGGAATAGAAGGAAAGTGGGATTTTAAGCTTCAGAGGCATGAATGTTGATGAGCTGGAAGGGAACCCAAGGTCACATCACTTTATGCAAAAGGGCAGGTTCTATCTGATGTTCATCTCTTCCTTTGCTGGAGACAATCCAGAGAGCAGGCTGGGAGCCAGCAATATCACATAGTTTTGAGAGGGGCCAATGAACTTGACATTAGGGCCAGGTGGGCCACAGGACTTTGCTCGTTTGGCTTGCAAAGACCAAAAATGCCCCTAATCAAAGATGCTGTTAATTAGGAAACAGGTATCAACAGATCTACAGATTTCTAAGGGTCAAAAATCCCTAGAAATTATCTTTTTTTTCCCTTAGCAAATAGAAGAATTTCAACAGAAGTGTATATAACTATAGCTGTCTTTTTGTGCCTATGCTTATCTTTCAGGTTAAGCGACAATTGATCCATATAAATTGCATATATGTCTCTTCTTTGCCTCCTTTGAAGAGAAGAAACATCTAGATTTTTCTTTGTTTTTAGAAAACAAAAATACTTTGTCTGTCGTTATTTTTTCCATTGGACGAATTTCTAAGACCATGATGTACACTGAAGGGAGCAAGTTCTATAATAGCATCAGTAATGTGCTTGGTTCAAGTCATACTTTAAATGCAACATAAATTGGATTTTTACCTTTATTTTGGGAAACATATTAGTGGGGGTTTTTTATCATTATCATGATACCTTGTAAACTATTTGAATTCCATGGCTTCAGAGTTGTTGCTGTTGTTTTTTTCCCCATGAAGAGAATTCATGTCCTCCTTGGAGATTTAATAGCCGCTCTAAAGTAATGTCTCATATTTAATAAGATTGTCATTACCTTTACAAAGTATACTCCAGTAAATTTACTGAATGATAGTCAAGGAAGTAGCTGAGATCAGACAATTCTCAATAAATTAACAAGAAGGAACGTAACTTCATTCGAAGGGTGGGGGAGGAATAATGAATCACAAAATGCCTTACTCATAAAATTAAGTAACTCTTAATAAATGTAAATTAGTAAAATGTAATGGCTCAGCATTTTATGTTTTCCAGGAACTTAAAAGAACCTTGTAAATAAGTGAGGACCTTATAAAGGGTAGGGGAGAGAGACTGCTGATATGTAAGTGGCTAAATAGTGACATTCATGCCAACTTTTGCCCTGATTCCATTGTAAGAATTAATTGTGTAGTTTGTTAATCTATATCCAGGCCACAAAATGAATATGGCGTGACATTTTCTTATCTTTAGAAAAGGTCTAGTACAGGCATAAATTCAGCATGGGATTTTTTTAGGTTGGCAACTTTTAAGAGAATGATTAAAAGGCTAGTATTTACATTGGACTTCATTTGGCCTTTGCCTTAAGAACCCAATAGCACCACTAATAATCATCATTTTTCTTTCTTTCTAATGCTAATAAGTTGTTGAAGGATCTAGGTTTGGATTTGCTCAGCTACTTTTTAGCCATGTGGTCTTAGGGAATTGTAACCCCCTCTAACCCTTAGAACCCTCGTTGATACACAGGAAACCTGATAAATAATGCACGTGCAGGTGATTAGCACAGTATCTGGCCTAGCCAGGGGCTTCATCATACACCTTGAAACTAAAATATGTGCTGAAGGAAACAAATGTTTTTATGGCTCCATGAGCCTGTAAGCATTCTGTAGGGTCTATTACTAACCAGGAGTCTGAGCACAAGGGGTTGCCTGTCAGAAGAAAGGAGAACCGAACAGGGTAGCAAGGGCCGTGACTGGTGGAGAAGGCAGGAGCAAAGTTTAGGGTACCTGCACCTCAGTGGTTTTCCTGATAGCATGCCAGGGAAGGCTTGGAGCTGAGACTCCGTAACTCACATACCCTGAGAAGTGCATACACGCCATCTGAGTGGTAGGGCACAGAGAACGGTGACATGAGCAAGATGGAGAGGTGCCCGTCAAATCATTCAGTCCTCTTGAGTATACGGGGGTCTGAACAAAAGAAAGAGCCATCTGGGCCCTTAAAGCAAGGGACCCAGCCCTACCAGTTGCAACACCTCCTTTTATTACAAAAATAATATAACATCTACTTTTCTCCCTGAAATGAAATTTGTAAATAATATACCCTGCCTACATATGTGGTTTCAAAAAAGAATGATTCTCTAACTCTAATATGAGAGAAATGAAAGCAAAATAATTTATAATAAGGTAATGCATATTTCAGTATATATGTAGTCAAGAAATACTAATCTATACCCAAGAACTATGCTGGAAGACATCATGACATCTTGTTCCTCTTCTCAATGAGTAAGTTTGTGTTTAAAAGGAATAAAACATGCAGCTGAATCTGGTCAGGTCTTTTTTTGCTTATAATTGACATGAAAGAGAAGCTAAATAAGAAAGTTCCTATATATACACACATACAAGTACGTACATAATTACATACTTGTATGTAATTAACATTAACTGACATTAATGGGGTAGCTGCAAATACAGATCATTTGGGTATGTCGCACTGGAGATTCAAATAATCTGAACAATGTTGACTTTGCTGCCATTTTTCTGAAATGGAATCAGCTTATTGGTGACATTCCAAATAAAACAGACATCCCTTGATTTATGTGACAATCATGTTCCTAGCAAAGTCAGTGTATATAAAAGCTGTGCCAAAGAGCTAGATCCTGTGATCCCACAGGAAAGCCTGGCAGGGCATGTGAAGGCTGTGTGGGAAGCGGACCGTTCAGGTTGTACAGGACTGCCATGCGCTTTGTGCAGTGTCTGACCTCCCTGGTCTCGCCCCAACCATTAAGGGCAGCACCCCCAGTGTTTGTGAGAACTGAACCTGCTCTCACAAATGCCCAGAATTCTCCCTTCACACCACAGCCTTCAAGGGATACAAGAATAAGGTGGAAAACACATTTGACGGGTGAATTTAGCTCTCTCAAAGAAAGGGGTTTTCGAGAGCTGAGACTTACCAGTGCTCATACTGGGCTTCTTTGACCACCCTTCCTTCTTAAAATAAAGCCCTCTTCAGAGTAGACACCACCTTTCCTTGCTTTTCTGAATCCAGATTGTCTTTATAAATACTGAGTCTTCAGTGTTATGCTAATGATTATTCCTGAAAACCATTCCAAAATTCCCTGGTCTTCTGGCATTATTTCTCTTTCTGTCACCTTTTATATGTGCCATTATCCATCCTCCTATGACTTTAAAGCCTTTATTGTAATTTTCCTATGCTTACCTGCCTATCTTAACTGGCTTTTAACATACACAAGTTTGCTCTGGGTGATTTCAGGGCTGGGACATGATGGTGGGTAGCAAATCTTCATTATTTCTTGTGATATTGAGGGATTGGGGCCACCTGTAACATCCTCTATGTGTCCTGGTTATGACTCTAACTCTTCTTTCCAAGTCAGGTGGAAGATGTGGAGCCATCACCAGGGCTGTTGCACAGCCTCAGACAAGGCTGTGGCCCACACGCCACCCATCCTAGGGCCTCCTAGGGCCCCTCCAAAGTCCTGAAGTCCCATCTCAAAGGACTCAGGGTAGCCCTGGGCACCTGTCTTTTAAAACATTCCACATGAACCTGTTGGGTGTCCAGGCAGGCACTGCCTCAGTTTCCTCATCTGTATCTGTTAATGCTGTGCCTGTGTGTACAGGTGGTTCTGGGTGGGCCCAAGAAATGTCCCACCGGGTCAAAAAAATGTGGAGCTATCACTATTTTCTTGTTATCTACTAGTAGTTTGCTTAGGAGGTTTTGATAGTAAAGAAAGGACAAAAATAGTATCTTGTTACTTGTGCATGTACAACTGGGTACCATAAAAAGCCTAACACTTCATCTAGCACAGAAGGGTTTTTTTTTAAGTGTATATGAAACTCAGATGTTTTATCTTTTCTTTTTTTAGCTGACATCTCAGCATCCATATGCTGAAGTTTTCATCGGCCAGCCACACGTCTGGACTGTTGACCTCGGCAATCAGGACGAAGTTGAGGATGCAGTGAAAGCAATTCTAAATCAGAAGGTTCTTTCTTTTATATCATTTTCCCCATTTGTAATGTGAACTGAAAAGTGTGGGGTGTATCACAGGACCTTTGTTTGAGTAATTAAAACATTTCCATGTCAGCTTAACCCTGACATCAGAAAATAGCCAAGCCATTGGACTCAGCCTGGGGATTTCATGAGTGTTCTGTGAAATGGGAACAGAGCTGGTGTCCAGATGTGTGCATGGTTCTAAAACCCTTTGACATGACTCCCGGGTCCCAGACATAGGAATAGTACTATGTACTACTTGGATCGTAGTACTTCCTTCAGGGACCTATTGATGTGACCCCCACAAAGACCCAAAAAGATAGACTTGATCTTCTAAAAAAAAGTAAGGATGAGGAATGTTTAAGGAAATATTCCTGGGCTGTGCTTTTATGTTGCATCCATTTATTTGGCTTTTCTACCTAAACATTTTCTAGAATTGTGTATAAGTAACTAACATCTGTGGACTCTCTTGATCAATTCAGCAGACGTATTACTAAGTACCAACTGTGCACCGAGCACCTTCTGAGCCTCTCCAGGGGACGCTGGCTTCCATAAACCTAGTCAAGGCTGGCTTCCTGCATGTTGGAAGCTTACCACCAAGCACGAGTAGTTTAAGTTATCCTCTCTGCCAACCCCAGGACTGTGGTGGCTTCTGTCATGTGTACCTTTCCCCTGCACTCATCCTATCAGAGCACTTTTTCCATTCTGTTATGATTTGTTAAGGGAAGCAGTATAGGCATGGTTGTGAAGGCAGACCAAAATCAGGTGGTTTGGCTTTGGGTTGCAGCTCCACCACATGCTAGCAGCATCCCGTCAGGCAGTTACCTAGCCTTTGAGTCTCAGTTTCCGCATCTCTAATGTAGGTTAATATTGTGTACTTTAGAGGGCAGTTGTGGGGATTTAATGAGATAATGAACACAAAGAGCTTACAGCAGTGTCTACCACATGGTATGTGGTTAGTTAGTATTATTAAGTCAATATTAGTATTATTTTTATAATAATATACTACTCTTATTTTTGTCATTGATAGTCTTGATTTCCACTAAACTCTAAAAACATGAGGGCAGTGAATGCATCTGTCTAACTTTCTGTATTCTGAATACCCAGCTTAGTGATTGACCCAATGGATAGAGAGAGGGAGGCATAGATGTTTGCAGAATATGTTCAGTGCCATTAACATGCCAAAGACTGAGGAGTGTAAGTTGGAATAGACTTTCTGGAAATTGCAGCATTGAATTAAGTCTTACAGGATGAGCAAGAATTTGCAAAGCTAAACTGAGAAGTGAGGTCAGAATGGCATGAGTTCCAAGCCCAGTGTGAGTAAAGGAACGAGCCTGGAAAAGCACGAATCCCATGAGGACTGGTTGTTAACTCATGTAAAAAGCCATCTTTCCCCTCTGAGAAATGAAATGTGTGTGGCCCACTGAACTGCCAGTTTCAGTTCACTCAAAACACCGCCAAGGGAACAAGAGCACAGCTATGCCTCACCATGTTCTGCCCCCTCTGGAGAGGGGGTGGTTGCTGACTTTTGGTGTAACTTCTCGGAGTTCCCATTCACGACAGATGATGTCAATCCTGGCCTTAACAGTTTAGGGCAGAAGTCCCCAGACATCTGGTGGCCAAGCCAGTAGAGTGCCGAGTGGAGTGTGGTACCACTGGACTCCATCAGAGCATCCCCCGCACATCTAAAGCTTCCCCACCAGAAAGTCATTCCTGTGGAGATTGAAGGTCTCTCTTCTAAGTCTCCAAGTTCCTTAGTGTATTAGTTTCTTGGAACTGCCACAACAAAGAACCACAAACTTGGTGGCTAAAAAACAGAAATATATTTTGTGACAGTTTTAGAGGCTGGAAGTCTGAAATTAAGATGTCGGCGGGACCATGGTCCCTTTGTGTCTTCCACCTTCTGGTGGCTCAGGTGTTCTTGACTTTCAGCTACAGCACTTTAACCTCTGTCTTCGTCATGGCGTGGTAGCCTCCCTAAGTGTATGTGTCTGTCTGTCTGTCTGTCTTCACTTCTTATAAGGACATCAGTCATATTGGATTAGATCCCACTCAAATCCACTGTGACCTCATCTTAACTTGATTACACCTACAAAATCCCTATTTCCAAATAAGATCACATTCACGGGTACTGGGAGTTAGGACTCCCTCGTATCTTTTTGCAGGACTCACCACAACCCACATACTTAGTTAAGTGCACATCCCCCTTAAGTGGAGTAGTGTAAAAGCTAATATAGAGATAGAAAACCTTGGATCATGGAGTCCACACATTTTTTCAATAGTAGATCCCTTTGGTCAATCAGAAGTCAAATGGGGAAACCTGGCACATAAAGCACTAGGAGTGGGCACCGCTCACTCCCGCATGATGCAGGCTCTGTTCACTCTGTGGAAACTTTAGTGCTCCACACTCATCAGCCTTTTTTACCTTATTCCAAAAACTGTGTAAGGACACTTGTTTAAAAAAAAAGTAATTATTGTAGCTGATAGGCAGAGAGAACCTCTTTCTACACATCTAGAATTTGTATACCTTTATGAGCCTTATCCCTTTTACTCCCTCTGCAGTTGAGAAGATTAAGATTGAAGGAAATTAACTAATTTACTCAAGATCACACAATTCATAAACAGTAAAATCTGGATTGACACTAAGTCTTTTTGACTAGTTTGTTAGGATAATACAGAAGATGAAAGGGAGAGAATAGCATGAAATGAACTAAAGGGAAAGGTAAGAATATGAAAGAGATGAAGTAAAGAATGAGATTACTACACAACGATTGTCATTAAAACCCTTCCACTGGTAAGAAATGGGTCAGAAATTGGGTGTAAAGCTTTCTCATCTTTAATTTACAATGTTTAAATTACATGACAATCAAAAAAGCAAGACAACATGACTCATCATTAAGAGAGGAAACTGAATAAAACTAGACCTAGAGATGGCCCAGATGTTGGAAGTATCACACAGCAACTTTAAAATGCTAGGATAGATACATTAAAAGCCTTGGTGAAACCAGTAAACAACAAAGAGATGGGGAATTTCAGCAGAGAGGTGGAAACTTCTTAAAAGCCAAATGACAAAAAGCTAGTACTGAAAAGTACAGTATCAGAAATGAAGAACTCTTTCAGTGTGCTTATCGGCAGACTGTACACAGGAGAGGAAAATATCAGTGAGCTTTGAAGACTTCTCAATAGAAAGTTTCCAGATTAAAACACAGAGACAGTGGAGGAGAAGGTAATGGCAAGTTTCCAAAGCCAAGGGCCTGCACAGTGCAGCCAGCAGTCATCCTTCCCGTGGCCATGTGAATGGCAGTCCTTTTTCCACAGAGCAGGATGACCAAGAACCCAGCCGCTCCACAACTGGCCCTGCTTGGGTTTCTCAGTGACTGGTTGTGGTTTCAGCATTTCCTTTCATTCCATCCCTCAAAGTAGCCTTGACTTGTTCCTGAAGGAGTGTCATGCAGAAAACTCCCTCTCTCTCTCACTCACACCCTCCAATCTGCATAACAACTTCTACATCAGAGGCTCACTAGTGTTCTTCAACCCCAGAGCTGGGCATCCTGCTCCTGTCCACAGCAGGATGGCTAGTGCAACTCAGGGTGGCAGAGGTGGCTTAATATAATTTCATTTTTTTGGCTTTTCCTTTAAGGGAAAATTGTTCAGCTTTGTGTCTTTTAAAACAGTGAACTGGACCACAAAGCAGTGAATGAGTCAGCTTCCCTTTGGTTAAACTGAGTTTGGTTGCTAGGACAATACAGGAAGAACTATTTTTTTATGCTACATTAGGCCCTTTGAACTAATTCACTTCCATTTCCAATGGATACCCTTTGGATATGTTGTAGGAATGGCCCTCGAGTGTCAGCCTGCTTCCTACCACATGACTGGAGCTGCTGTCTCATGACAGATGACCACTGACGTTTGTTTATTTCACTCTGGAAGTTCTACTTGTCTCCCTATAAATGAGCCCAGTGTGCCAAGTCCTCTGTTGTCAATGTTTGTTTGTTTCTTCTATGAACCTTTGAAAAAAGACATGTCTCTAGGCCAGTTATAGGAAGCTTCTGGAATCACCCACTGATTGAATGTATAAATAACCTTTAAAAGAAAAGATAAAGTTTACATTTGGTATGAAGGGCTATGTCAGGGTTAGAGAGGACACAACAAGTGCAAAAGCTTGAGATGAGAAGGCACAAGCTCAGAACAGGGAAGTCAGTTTTCAAAGTATTTTGAACTTTTCAGAAATGAACTATCTAGGAACAGAATGACCTCTGTTCTTGCAGAGTAGTCATGTCCTCATTCTATAATGCTTAACGCTCCCCCTCTTTCAGCTCAGTTTGGATGGATGTTGCAGAGATGGTGAGATACCACTTGTGTGGTGCACCATCTAGTTGTATGTTTGGAGATATGAAATTAGCAATCACAGTTTAAGATTTAAAATGTAGTGTGTAAATTAACACAAAAAAAGAGAGGCTGCCTTGAAGCCAACTGCGTGTGTACCCACAGAAGAATGTCTTCTCTACCAGTTGTCCCATGTTCAGCTCATAGATGTTTTGTCCAGTTCTCTACCCTGTGGTCTCAAGATAGGCAAGTGTAGACTTCAGAGGGGGATGGTGACGGTGCCCCTGTCTCCGACTGCCGACAGTGCTGTCAGGCTCTAGGAAGCTGTAACACGCTGTTTGCCAATGGTTTTCCGCCAAGTGAAATTTCCATTCCAGGTTGGAAATGCTGGCTGGCTGCCCCACAAACACAGGCTTCACAATGCTGGCAAAGCACTGTGGAGCGGGATCAAACTCACATTCTCCCTTTCCCACCAGTGGCACAGTATTGATCAGTCTGCCTCCCCACCCAGCAAAGCTCCCTCTGGGTCTCTGGCCACCCTCTAATGTAGTCCAGGCTCCTTAGCCTAGAGATCTCAACACTTTTGTGGAAATCCAGTGAACCTCTTCCCAGCCTTGTCTCCAGCCTCTCTGACTCTGAGCTCTACCCTCCAGCTGTCTTCTTTGGTGTCTAATCTCATATTACTCACTCTACTTGGAATACCTTCTGCACCTTGGCTTGCTGGGATCCCCATTGACCTTGACAGCCCAGCATGAGCATAAGTCTGCTTTGACCTTCCAATCTCCTAGGACCCTCTACATGAACTCTTTGTGGCACTTTATCACTGTTTTTTTTTCTTTTTTTACCACATATTATAGTTTTCAGCACATGTCAGTCTCACCTACGAAAGTAGAAGAATGCTTTTGTCACCATCATGGGTGCTTAAACCACTCATCGTGTGCCTGTCTCAGAGCAGTGAGCATGCATTCACTCAACAGCTGTTTGGGCAAATGCTGAGTTCCTGTATGTGCCACCCTGCTCAGCACTGAGAGGCAAAGACAGCCCAGCAGCGGCAGATGCTGCCCCAGGGGGCTTACCTCCTCAGAGTGATTCTCCCCACCATTTGCTGAATGCCTTCTCTGTGCTAGATGCTGAACTAAGTGCTTTACTTTTTTCCCCCCTACATAATCTTCACCACAACTTCAAAGAGGTGGGTTTTTCTGGTCACCATTTTCCACATGAAAACCTGAGGCTCAGAGACAGGAGGTAATTGGCTCAGGATCCCACAGTTAGTAAGGAGCAGTGAGGTTGTGAGCCCAGGTCTCTTCCGAGTTCATAATTACAACCCTCCACAAGGCTGACTACAGGATTGGCCCCTGAGTGTGAGCGAGTCAGTGGAAGACTGGGTAAGTGTCTCGTATTCCTTGCCTTCCACTTGTGATACCATGTCCGTTTCCTCAGATTGAGCCGTACATGCCATACGAATTCACCTGTGAAGGGATGCTGCAGAGAATCAACGCTTTCATTGAAAAACAGGTAAGGCTCTGCACAGTCCAGCTGTCTTTGCTATGTCCTGCTTCCTGTTACCCAGGAGGGCTCTCAGGAAGAGTTAAGAGCTCACCATGGTTTTGTGGTTATTTTCCTGATTTGAAAGACTCCAGAAGTTGGATAATGGCTTGTTGGAACTTGACAGCGTGCCCTGTCCTGGTCACCCAGCAGAGTCACCTGTCCTCTGGGGAAGAATGTTCTTTATGACCTTGGCAGGCCAAAAGGCAACTTTTGGGAGAAACAGGGTGGTCAGGACAGAAACCTGCCTTCACTGGGTCCTCAGAGGCATCCAACCGGCTTGAGGGCGGGGCACAGGGACAGCCTCTGGTCCCGCCTGGTGGTCTTTTCTCACTCTAGGAAAAGCAAGGACTGAACCCTGTGGTTTCCAAGCATTTCTTTAATATACATTCTCTAATTCCAAATATGTTAGGACTTTTCAGTGGTTTTCAAACATCTTTTAAAACAGGACCCCTTTTCAAATGAAACTTTACATGAAGCCTAAGTATATAAAACAGACAAAAGCAGAACTTGACTTCCAAAGCAGGGGAGGGTCTGTAAGTCCCATGACCCCATCAGAACGTGGGCGCTGTGGCTTGTGCGCCTGCAAGTAAAGGCCAAGAGTGTCATTGCCACCATTTACAACACTCTGCTTGCTCAGGCTTCAAAAGCAACACATCTAGAAATAGGCAGACTGAGAACCCCTGTGGGCAGGGGAGTATGAACTCTTTGACCAGATTCCAGAAATAAGGGTCTCCCCTTAAAGGGTAAAGCAGTGCCTTGGGGTGATCAAGAAATCTTTACACAATAGGGGATGAGGATTGTGCAGACTAAAATAGAAATGGTATGTTGAAAATGTAAGTAGGCATAGATCATAGGTCCAATGTAGGTTGCAAAGGAAAGATTTGCTTTGACAGCCTGTGGCAAGCAGCGGACAGTCTCGGGGGCTGCTGTTGGAGAGCGAGGGAGAGCTGTGGGCAGAGGCTTCAGGGTGGTGGTCTGATCCTCTGACTTTTTCAGCCAAGGATGGGACACTCTGCAGCCAGCCACCTGGGTTCCAGTCCCACCACCGTGACTTTGTCATTGTATGATATGGGCATGTTACTCAGCCTCCCTGTGCCTTAGTTTCTGCTCCGATGAAATAGGTTAATAATAGAACCACAGAGGGCTGACATGAGGGTTCAGTGAGTTAATACATGTGACATGCTTAGAACAGGGTGGGTACACAGTGCTCAGTAAATGCAACCAGTATGTTGGCTACCTAATGCATTCTATCATGTATGGTATTGAATTATATTCTTACATAAACCTATTTTATTATTATATATTATACTGTATTACTCATCAGACTTTATCATGAAAGCTGAGCATTTGAATTATTATCATGCAGTTTTTTTCTGGCACTTAAATTAAGAATGACAGTATCATCCTCCTAACTCAAGCAGCCATTTACCTACAGACTCTATGCCAGTGTGTACCGAGCTCATCACAGTGTATCGCCTCATTTAATTCCATGTGACCCTGGGAGGTGGCAGTAATGACCCCCACTCTCTGGATGCTAGGAACTCAATCTCACAGTCACAGGCTCACAAGTCCTGGAATCAAGGCTTGATGCTGGGTGGCCTGCACCCAGGCCTGCACCCAGGGCACTGCAGGGCCCTGCAGGGCCAGGCCACGCCAGGTGGCCTAGAGCTACGTTTCTCATCTTCTTTTACTGCAAGCAGCTGCTGGTCCTCCCTGAAGGTGCAGCAGGAGCTGCTGTGACCTCCTCTGGCAGTGAGTTTTAAGACACAGTTCTTACGACCATCATGGGAAGTCATCTGCGGTTTTACTAGGACCCCTGCAGCCGCTGACGAACCCCACCTCCTTTTTTCCTGTCTCCACTTCCTCGCAGGGAACAGGGTTACTCACTGCCACGACTAGAAGGACTCTTCATCAAATTTATTTGAAGGCTTTGCTTTCTTTCTTTCCTAGGACTCTTGAATCCCAGCCAGTCCTTAAAAGTTCTCATGGGGCCCATTCTCTTTAAATCTATCACTCAGATTCCTTTCAAGCAGGGAGGTCGTGCACCCCAAACAGACCTTGCTAATGCTACGTAATGCAGGGGCCATGCCCATCTTGTTTGCCTCTAAATGCCACGTGCCTAGCCCTCTGCCTGGCACATAGTAGGTGCAATAAATGAGAGGGTGAGTGAGCATGTGTACTCTGATGTTTTTGTGAGTGTGTGCACCAGGAAGCTCATCGTGGGCCTTATGATTGAAAACATGTCACTAAAACACTCTAATGAGAACATGCTAATGGAACTGCCCTTCCACACCAGCTCCTGGTTGTAGGCTTCTCTGCAGAGCTCTGTGGCTCACAGAAATCCAGAGCTTGCTTTCTTGCCTGCTGTTGCTCGTTCATTCATCTGTTCAGTAAATACATGTTAGCTGCGTGCTGTGGCCTGTGCCAGGGGCTGGGAGAGAGAAGATGTCAAAAGACTTGTCCTTGTCCTCAGGTAGCTTCAACTATCACAGAGGGGCCAGCCCAGTTCACAGGCAAAGCCACTGGTGTAGGTTACACCCTGTAACAGTGATGTGACCAGGTGCTTTGGGATCACATAGCTGGGCCTGCAGGGTGGGGCAGGGGAGGGTGGGGGAGTCTGTGCTGGAGCCTTGGCAGGCGATGAGTCTTGAAGGCACACCAGGGCGACATGGAGGATGAGGAGGGCGAGGAGGGTGGGAGAGTCAAGACGCAACGCCTGGGGAGAAAATAAAGAGAAATCGTGGTGAAATACTGGAAGTTTAGCTACGACTGAAGAGGGAGACGATGTGAGAGGATGAGGCTGGGGAGGAGACGGATCACAAAACGAGGCAGACGCTCAGGTGGAGAATTCTGATTTGACTGTGGGACAGCAGGAAGCTAAATAAAGGTGTAAGGCAGGGTGAGGGCAGTGGTGCTGTCAGATTGGTGTTTTAGAAAAATCATTCTAGGAATTTTCTAGGTATTTCTTATTAAACATTCTCCCAGGGCTGAAAAAGAGCCATGAAGGGGCCCATTTTGAGTTTATCCCAGGCATCTGTGAAGGCTTTTATTGATGCCATAATGTTCCCCCAACTCCACCGGGAAGACAGGAAGCCAGAACCCCAGTGGCTGACAGACTAGGTCTTCTGCCTCTAACAGGTGCCTCCAGGCCACAGTGTTTTGGAGCTTTGGGTGTTCATTATTTTTGCAGCTAGAGGGGTCTCTTCAGAGAGCAGTGAGACTGGAGAGAAGGGTGTTTCTGGTTTGAGCAGGAAAGCCTCAAGCTCTAAAGAGGTGGTAGCACCTCAAGCTTCCCATAGGAGCTACAGTTCTAATTAGGCTGATCTCTGCCTCCAAGTCCTCCCTGTGATCTACAGGAGGAACAAGGAAGCTTTCATCCCAGAGCCCTCTCAGAGGTGTCCGTCACGCTCACGGAAGGCGGTGGGAGCCAGAAGAGGCCAATTGACCGCAATCTCGAAAGCCCCAGGCGTGGGCGTACAGCTGAGTGGTTGACAGCAGGACACCTACCTCGTGCCTGCTGACCCAGCTGGCGCATCCCACGAGAGTCCTGGCTTCAGGACAGCCACTTGCTTTTTCCCTTTAATGTCCTTTCGTTCCTTTTACTGTATGAAAAAAATGTTGATTTGCATTGTAAACTCTTTTAAATCGTCTCTCCCAATGAGGTCCTCTCTCCAGCAGCAGGGGGTAGCAAGGCAAAAGTCCCATGCTCCAAGGTCAGGAGCACCATTCTTCCCTGACCTGAGTGGGCCCAGGCCTGTCCAGTTTCTCAGATATTTCTTGGCAAAGACTTAGGTGTTTGCCTCACTCTTTTAAATGAGTGGCAATCAACAACGCTCAGATTGATTTCCAAAAACCATACCTATGTTCTTCAACCCTACTTTCTTTTGCTCGTATTATTTAGCAAAGAGCTGTGTAATTCACGTAAAAAGCATTTTGGAGATATAGAAGGAAAAACGAGTTAACTCCAGGAGCCACTGTGGAATCAGCCTCAGTTCCAGGGAAATTGACTTGACCTTGAACTCCTTGGGGAGTAAGGGCAAGCCTGGTAGCGAATCTGGATAGTCCGAGTAAGGGCAGTGGTGGAGGTGACAGGTTGCAGGGCAAGAAGAAAAGGAATGGAAAAGGGGAGAGTTTATTGTTTATTGTCACTGGACAGGGGGCCGGGCGCTGAGCGAGTCTGCCTGGGGCCAGCCGGTATTGTGTGGGTTCTTGACTTCATGTAGGAAAGACTTCACAGGTCCAGGTGACTATGAGGGTACATTTATTAAAGCTGGGGACTGTGAAACAAGGAAGGGCTTAGCACAGAAGCAGCAATAGGAGAGCGTAGACTGGGATGTTTTAGCCCACTGGGGAGTCAGAGAAAAGAGGGCCTTGGGGACAGGTTCTGGGGATTCACCTGGGACGAGCTGCCACTGCCATTGCTCCCCTGGTTGCAAGTCTCAGAGTTTTTTAGAGTTTAGGAGGCACATGCCTGTGGGTAGAGAAGTGGGGGAAGAAGGAGGAAACGGAATGGTGCAGCCTGCTCCCCAGAGGGAGAGGGTGCTAACTGCGTCCTTTGTCTTGAGTTTTTATCTCTCTCTTGCAGGCGGCAATCTCAGGGGAGGGTTTCAGCAGAATATTCACCAGTTTTCCAGGTGTGCTCTTCCAGGGTCCTGGTCTCTACTGATTGGTCAGTGCCAGGGCAGGGCACGAACTCATTAGTCATTGTAGCTGGTCCTGGCATTGCCCACCTGGTTTCAGTGCTTGTCTGGGTTTGGAGCTAAAACACAACTGATGCTTAGATGTAATCTCTAGGGAAGTGACCTGTGCGTGGCTGTAAATTGCTCAGCCATTGTGTCCTGCTCTCTGTCTCAGTTGCCCTGTTCTGCTGGCCAAGGAATTTTCCTCGCTTCTTATTGTGTCAAATTATCACTAGCTTTCAGTGCTGTTAGCGAGACTGGGTGGATAATGATTAAGCAGTGGGCTCT